AGGGGTGGAAAACTTAAGACGGCTCGAGTTTATGGTGGCAACGCGCGCGCGGAGGTCTCTCGCAATGAATCAATTTATTTAAGGGTAGTTGGATTTCGCGAGTCGATGCACGACGACTACGAGCCACCCTCCTCCAATACATCCGAGACTCACCCCTCTTTTTCTAACGTGGCTCGTTTCGTCGAATGATTTATAGTTTTCCTTCCGCGAGCACCCGTCCACCCCGGCCGTCGCGCTGCGCTCTCTCTTTCCGCTGCGTTCGCCTCGAAGCAGCGGCACCCTCCTGCCAAATGTACGCAAAATAGTCGGAATTTCTTCGGCGTTTCACCCCTCGCTGGAGAGGAAAGGGAAACCTACGTCGGGCCGCGTCGAGTTACGCCTTTCCGTAAGAGCGAATCATCAGCCGACAGCGTCCTCGTTGAGAACGCAGAAGTGAACGAGAAAACGCGAGGAAAACTCACTTCGGGAGAAAATTGACTCTTTGGGAAAATCTTTGGAGTGGGAAGGGAGATTTCGTAGAAGGGAGATTTGCGTTCGAGCAACGAGAGACCAGAGCGTAAATGGCCACCGGACGAGCTGGACGAAGGACGGCGAGAATAATTAGTCATTTATGAGACCGTAAGTGGGGCCGCAAATCGGTCCTTCGCGGAGGGACGACAACGATGTTAGGGACTCTGCGGGGACGATGGCGTTATCTTGAAATTATTAATCATATCGTAACGCGCGTCGCGCGAGAGGCAGCCGAAGGGAGCGCGAGAAGGATGAGGAGAGACGAGAGACACAAGCTACCGGCTCCATGGACTTATCTGGCACCTTAATCAATTCCCAGTTATTAATTATGGCCTCTGCCCTTCCCCGACCATCGCCTCCTCTTCCTTCTCTTCCTCCTTTCTACATCAGCCTCGCGGCGCACGCTTCCGAGACCCGACGACGACGACGACGACGGCACCATTGTCCGCGGCGTTACAATGCGGTGTCAACAAGATCGCGGTCACATTTTCCCCGAGCATGATCATTAATAATTATTTACCGAAGTGCGAAAGTCAGGTTGGGAAGCGCGTACGCCCGATGGGCACCAACATCACGGAGGAAGCTTGCACTCAGATGTAATAAACATCGCGTCTGAGCTCTTGTGCGAGTGAGCTCTTGTCGCAAAATCCGTCAAAAGAAATCCATCTTTTCTGGATAAAATTTTATAAAGTAATATCACAAAATTTAATATAAATTGAATAACAAATCATACTTATTATTAATTTGCGATGTCAGCTAATTCGTAATTTAATCCGAAACTGTTCTTGTTACTTTACCAAAGATAAACTATTTATACTTCCTAGACTCTACAATATAAACTTTACGGATATAAAATTAAATAGCTTCTATTACAATGTCTGCTTTTATCATCTCGTAATTAATTTTCCTCTTTATAGCCAAATAAATCAAAGAAAATAATGAAAATGCGTATTAAATGAAAGACTAATAATATAATCAACAGTTCCCATCTAACGGATCTTGCCTACGAAGTGTAGGTTTTTAAATCACCAATGCCAGGGAATATCCAAAAGAAAGGATGAATGGCGTCAGGTGGAAGTTGAATGATCGTTTATGCAAATCCTAATCCTTTCGAAGATCCAACCGAGCGACGTTGACGGATTGGCGGGGGACTTTGTTTGAAGCTAGTTAAACGGATTGCAATTCTCGACGCCATTTGTTCTCCTAAAGGCGCGGAAGCTTCCAATGCATCTGATTAGCGAGTCTTAGCTAATTATCGATAAAAGGAATAATAAAGATGGCAAATGATTGCCTAGCGAAAGAGCTAAAGTAAGGCAATAGTTTCTAGGTTGCTCAAAAGTGAAAAGAAATTCGATTTATAACTCAAATAAATTTTACAAATAAAATATGCTAAAATTAGTAATGTTACTTTTATTTTACTTTTAAGCTACAAAAGATTATTTATCAAAAAATTATTTCTTTATTATTATTTTAAACAAAAACATGATGCTATTCAAACTGATGATGTGGAATGAAAAAACAAGGACCTTTACATGCGCGCGATTCTAGCATAGTTTAAATATAGAAAAAATTTTAAATTAAAAAAGGGAAGAAGTAATATATATATATATATATATATATATATATATATATATATATGACAGTAAAGAGTAATTTTATATGCTGAGTATTGCAAAAAGATTGTACACTATGCACGTACTGTATAATATAACTATGTGTAATGGAAGCAACGAACTATGGAGTTTTGTTCGAAAAATACAAAGAACGATTATACTGGCAGTGGTAGCGCAAAAAAGGGGCGGCATGCCCGACCTGCTGAAAAATTAATCACCGACGTCACAAAGGAGTCGGTCGAAGACAATGCCAGCGGTCCGGAAAAATATTTTTCACATTTTCTCTCCCTCGGTTAATAGCAAATTCTCGATAATGGATCGTGGACACTCGCAATCTCAAGAAACGAGAGAACGAGGTAGCGAATTGTCGTTTTTTTTCTATCGCTTCTCGCTTCGATTCAAACGCGATCGAATGTTTAATTTTCCCCCACAAACTAAATTATTTTCAAAGACATTGTTAAAAGTATATCACGTATAGAAATTGTACACACCTACATCGCACAAAGAGTAGAACGTATAGTATAGCTGCCCTCCTTCTTATTCGGGCAGCTTGTTTAATATGGGAACCCGACCACTTATTTCGTGGTTTTCCATACCCCCCCTCCCCCCCCCCCTACGCGTATGTGTACACCGAAATCGCGGGTGACACGACAAACGTGTAATCCGCGAGAAGGGTTGATCCCGGTTTAGCTCGCACACCGTTGAATCCACGAGATTTAAGCCCCGGCGAATTTGAATCTGTCAATCCGAAGTGTCCAGAGCCAACGTGTCGCGCCGCGCCGAGAGAATGTATAATAAGGGAGCGCGCAGATAATGCCGTCCCGGATGTTAAAAGACCTTTTTTCACTGTCGGAAGGACCCCGTACGTATTTACGAGATCATATTCGAGCGAAATCCGCTACTGAATCTACTAATACATATTTAGGGGAAAGATATATATATCTTTTTTGTTTAAAGAGGGATGTGCGTGACAAAAGTGTGGATGTTCTTCTAGTTCTCGTTTCGCGAGGAAGAAAATCCAAGAAGCAGAACGAACGCGAAAAGAGCAGTTTTGTTGAAGTAATCTAAAAATTTGACCGGATATAAAAAAATAGTTTTGTTAGGTCATCAAAATAATTATGCAGGACGTTAAAATTGCTCGATAGAATATAAAAAATTTGTGTATTATTATGCTTATAATGATACGCATACAACAAAATTATTTTCAGATTTATATCCAAATCTTTAGATTCAACAAAATTGTCCTTTTAGTAAAGAAATTCGGAAACACAGAAAGAACAGTTTTACTAAAATATTTAAACAGATCTGAAATATATTGTCAGACTATCAAAATAATTGTGTGGAATATTTAAGTTTGTTAGACTATCAAGAGCATTATCGTCATATTATACATAATTTTTTTATATTTAATAAAATTATTTTAAGATTCGTATCTAGCATTTTTTAGATTATTTAACAAAACTGTTCTTTCTGTATAATAACCAAAAAAGTTGAAATTCATTCTTGGTGGCGGCGAATTTTGAGTGCGTGCTTTTGGGATGTTTTCCCAAGTGAAGTGTAGATTAGGGAGACGAATACACCAGAAAAGTAGAAACTCGAAGAAGATCGAGCGAGAGTCCAAATTGCATTTACGGTCTTGACCGTGGAAGAAGGCGAAACGATATTAAGACACCGGTGGCCCTTCGTCGGGGTCGATGTATCATTTGCCGGCGGGTCGTTAAGCGGTTTCAATTAGTTTTCTCCCGTGCCGGTCCTCCCCCACAACCACACGAGTGAAAGACGAGAGAGAGAGAGAGAGAGAGAGAGAGAGAGAGAGAGAGAGAGAGAGAAGAGAGGAGG